TGCCAAGATCCATGGCATTTGGTAGAAAGAAACCATAGAAATTTGATTTGGAAGACAAGAAATTGTTGCTCTATTCTTAGATTATATAACCACTATGCTCTTTTGCATTGATCCCCAAGATATAAAAATTAGGGAGCTGTATGGAGATGTTAGGGAGATTTTGGGGAGGCCAAGAATTAGAATAAAGTAGGAGGTGTTCAAAGTCAGTGTTAAATCTGAGGTCAGAATGGGAGATGTGGGGACGGAGCCTCACATGCAGAGGTTGATGACCCATGTAAAGACCATCCAACCTTTCAGGTCTGGGAGGAAATTGAGAAGAGTAATAAATGTGGGAAAGGAGAGGCATCATGGTGTAGTGGATATAGTGATGGGTCTACATTAAGAAGACCTGGATACAAATCGACTTTGAGTGGTTGTGTGACCCCAAGTATAAATCACTTACCCTTTCAGGGAATTCCCATTGATGAAATGAAAGGTCTTTGATGTAATACATTTAAAAGAAACAGAATAACATCTGACCCTCGAGAAACAAAACTGACCTTTTTAATGATATGTGTATATATGTACATAATTAATAACTTATATCCAAACATGTATGTGTGTATACTAATATATGTACACAAGATCTAAACCAGTCTCAAGAAGTAATGCATAAGAAGTGGTTGAGTTTCAGCTATACAAAACATATAGAATTTTAAATACAGATAATCCTATAGTATCATACATTTTTAAAAAGAAAAACACAGATGATAGAGGCCCCGTCCACAGCTTTGCTTCACATTTGGTCTTCTAGGAGAGAGCTTTCACAATATGAAAGCAAGCAGAGGGCCAGAATTGATATGGTCTGACAGAATTTAGCAATAACAATTGAGCAGAAGCTACAATTGTACCCAACGACTTTAAGAGAAAACCTTCAGAGGCAACAGAGAATATTAAAGAGATGGAGGAAGAAAGGGCAAAGATTGTCCTTAGATACCTTGGTGATACTTCATTAAGAAGAGTTAGCTCTTAGTGTGTGGCATTTTTCCAGAATTTTGAGCATTTATTTCTCCATAAATTTTCACGTGCCACTCAGAAACTTCCACATATTCTGGAATTTTTATTAAAAGATTCCAACATTTCATAATCTTTAGACACTACAGCCTCAATGAACAGAAGCAAGAGAAAGGGTTGTCTTTTTTTCCACTATAAGTTTCCTTGTTGATTATTCAAGTAACAGAAGCACCATAATTGAGGAGGAAGACCAGTCCTAAGACCCTAGGGAACAAATAACGTCAATCTAAATCATGGTTTATAGAGAAAATTGCATAAGACCTACCTTCAGTTATTCCTGCCACTAGCCACTGTAATTGGTTGCTTGGTATTTTTTGCCTTCAGTACATGATTCACATTAAGTTAAAATACACTAGAATTGCCTGGTACCTATATAATTGTTGGTGACAACATTTATTTTTTGAGGTACAACACTTTACATACAATATTTTGGGGAAAAATTATGACTATGGCTAAAGCTAAATCAGAGGGTGTAATTAACCCCAGGGGTTTTCTTGGAGCAACCTGCCTATTGCAGCTGAACCACAAACCTCCATTTACAAATAATTATAATATTGGTTTTTCTAAAATTACCCATAATGAATTCAATCAGAGTAGTTGACTGAGAATGGCATGCCTAGGCCCCTTTAAATAATTTCCCCTCCTAATGTGTGCAATAAAGCAGTAAGTTGCCTCCTGAATGCTAAGTGCTAAATTTTGCTATGGCTTGTGCCCTCAAATGCAAGCCCTTGACTGATCCCCAGAGCTTAGAGGAGAATTTAGTCTATAACACAAAGGAGGGGCCTACAGGTACTTTGAGGTCAATTATGATAATATACAGAAAAAAATTCAAAATAAATATTTGGAGATGGACAAACCTAAATCAAAATTTGCTTCCTGTTGTCCCCCAAGCCTTCATATGGGAAGACTCTGCTCTTAAAAACAGGTCTAAATGTCTGGAAAAAACCAAGTGAATAATCTGATTTCCACATTGAAAAAAATATTCTTATAATAGAGTGTTGCGTTACTGACGTAATGCTCGACTTTCTATAGAGGCGACAGCAAAGTCAATTAAATCCAACAAGCATTATATGTGCCAGACACTGGTGATGAAAAGACAAGAATGAGAATAACCCCTGCCCTCAGGGAACTTCCATTCCTCATATTCAAACCTAATCCTAACTCACTTTAAATAATATTTATTTGTTTAGTATACACAATTTTCTAAATTGTATATAAATTATTTAAACAGTAATGCAATAACCAGTTATATAGAATTATATGAATATGACATGAAATCAATATATTGCATAACGGTTTTATCTTTTTATTTTTGTCTTATTTTTGTTGCAATAAGTGAAGATGAAGGAACACCTCCCATCAAGGGCTTTGGAGGAAGTTTTTCACAGGCATCTTAGAGGAAACTTTGGGGATGGAATAGGGCCACTTCAAAGCTTTTTCAGTAACCAATCCAAGGGCATTTATTTGTATGTCTGCTTATTTTAATCCATTGTCAATTTCCCTGTGGAAAGTAGAGGATTAAAGATCAAGGTGGTGGTCTTTTTGCCATGTTGAAGTTAGTATACACGGCATCAAAATTGATTGCGTGATTTATTATTTTTGTACTGCCTTCCCAGTGTGTTGAATAGTGATTTGGATGTAATTGGCAGCACATAGTAAGTGTAAGTTACTGAAGGTAAATGGCCGTAAATGGTCTATTTATGTACACCCCTACCCCTATCACCCTCAGGAGGCAAAGGCAAAGTATCAATAGAAAATTCTGCAAGAAAGGCATTTTCCAAGCAGACATATTAGTTCCAGCCTGAAAGGGTAGAACACAGAGGAAGATTTCTTGTCATTTATTGATTTAGCCACCTTGGCATTCCTGCACTGTTAGTGTTAGTATTGAAAATGATGAGAGAGGAGTAGCAAGATCAGCCTCTATGGATTGATATCTATCCACCTTATCAAGGTAGAACTGAAGAAACTCTTCAGTGTGGGGTTATTTGATGTGTATTATGAGGGAACACAGGAGTCATCTGCTAAAAATATCCTCCCCCCTATAACAAAGACCTGTTCATTATGGTCAATGTTGAGATTTTAAGTTCAGGAGGGTGGATGAATTGAATGATTTCCATTCTGTAAGAAAATGAAAGGACTTTCAGATCTCAACTTTGTACTCTTTACACTTCTAGCATGTACAAATTCTGTATGTCTACACTACCCCCCTTTTATATTTCTAAAAGGTACTTTGTCACTCGTGCCAAACTACATCAGTTTGGCATAAAATTTTTGTAACAGTGCTATAGAACCCAGTAATCTTGCTGAATACACCCAAAATAAGCAAGCACAATTTGGTACTGTCCAAGCCAAAATTTCCAAATATTTTCCCCCAGAAAGTTGTGGCTGTTTTCCAGATAGTGGATGAAATAGAGCATAGGTTTTTTTTCCTTCTTTTGTCTAAAGATCCATTATACTTTTCCACTTAATTCTTAATTTCTGCTTCCATTAAGGAAATTTAAAACAATAAGCATTGCCTTTTCCAAAGTATCTCATGCCTCAGACTTCTAAGTTGTGTTTTTTTCCCTCTGTTCTATCTTTTATTTCCCTTCTCCAATGTATTCTTCTCTTTCATTTCCTTTCCATCAGCCTAAGGAGAGAGTGTAGTATACTGCAAAGAGAGATTGTAAAAACGAAAACAAAAACCACCCTTTTGACATGCTAAAACTGGGTGAACCATTTTTGTGATGTCTCTGCCCAACAGTCACTTCATACATAGGGAGAAGACACATTGTAGGAAGGCTTAATTATGTCACTAGTGATGTCCACCGCTAGATAACTGTCTAATTCTTTGCACTTCTCTTTGGTTTTTATGGTTATGACCCTGCTTGAAGGATACCCACTTTGTGCAGAGCCTATCAGTGTGCTGTTAATGACAGAAAGTAAAGGGCAACATAATAATTTTCTCTGGGAAGACAAAAAAAAAAACTCGGGTGCTTCATACCTTGATTTTGATACCTTTCATCAGATGCTATCCTGCCTCTTTTCTTTCAGTATTCACTAATCAAATAGTTTCTATTCGACTAAACTAACATCTTAACAAAAAAAAAATACACTGAAGCAATGCCTTAGCCTCTTATTTGTTATATACAAGCTTATATTTCTTCTAGACCTGGGATTCACAGGGCTACAGACTGAACTTTTAACTACAAATAAAGATTCACATTGATTTTTTTCTGTTTAGAAGAGCAGAAGACAAATGTATTTTCCCCTCAATCCTTATAAAGCAAATGGCATTAATGATAAGCACTTAAAATAAGACACCATGAATTATCACTCTTTTGTCTGGGCCAAGGAAGAAGGACAAAATAAGCTGTTTCTTCCATTTTGGAACTTAGGTTTTAGTAAAATTAATTAAAAACATAAATTCATTTAGTGAAAAGGTGATACCCTGAATGCAGCTTCTTTTGCCAAGTAGAGTTGAAACAAGGCTGTTATGTTCTTGAATCTTATGGCTGCTGAGAGCCATAGACCTCCCTTTTGATGCACCAAACCAGCTGGCCCCCTGGGGAGCAGTATCTTCTAGGAGTTACCGGAGTGTATTTGGACATTAAATTTGGAAATTTAATAAGCTGTTTGGACAATCAGATTCTGAAAATATGTAAATATGTAGAAATTGAATCAGCAGAGCAACCCCAAGCAAATGGAAACATCCTTGAGAGAGTCAAGTGTCCCCTCTAACATTTCCAGAATTCACCCTCTCTTTGGATTGAGTCTGTGGCATTTACAATAGCACTTGAGCTTTTGGAGCTATTGTTTTTTAACCTTTTGAATTTCTGAGAAACAGGGTGGCAGGGAGGGGAATCAACTCAATCTCAGAAACATCTCTGTTGCTACAGTGCACTTTGCCTGGGTCTTATGTCCCTTACATGGTTGCAAATTATATTTGATTTGAATGGTTAATACAGGAGAGCCCAGTGCACCCAAGCTGGAAGGGCAGATGGGAGAAGATGGGAACTCTATTAAAGTGAACTTGATCAAACAGGACGACGGAGGATCCCCTATCAGACACTATCTGGTCAAGTACAGAGCGGTGAGTGTTCTCCCTTCATCTTTTCCTGATTTCTTTATCAGTAAGTTATACTCTCCTTAGATAAAACAGGGTTTTTTTTTTTGTTTTGCTTTAGGAAAGGACTTGCTGGAGATGCAGGGGATTGGGGAAGAATCATAGGGTGGGTTTGGATTTCTAAGGCATTTAAAATTTTTAGACTATGTCTCGAGCTTCTTGAAGAAAGGGGTTGTTTTTGTCTTCATACCTGCGGTGTTTTGTATGTGCCTAGTACATCATGAATGTCTAATAAATATTGATTGATCAGTTAGTTGATTACGTAGTTTGAAACTTTAATGACAAGAAAGCTGTTAGGGTTGTTTTACAAAATGTGTTATCTTAATACTCAAACCGTCTCCCAAAACTTTTAGCAAAATTTTTATTTTCTTTTTATGCAATATAGTTTATTTTATCAATAATTTATTAAGATTTATTAAGATAATGTAAATAGCCTGAACTCTGTTATTTAGGATGCCCCCAATTGGTCTCCCTTGGATCATGGAACATAGCCACAAATTTCACCTTCCCCCATTCGTTTACCCTCTATCCTAGACATCTGTCCACTTCTTAGCCAACTAGAAGTCCACCCTCCTGCTTTTACTCTGGCTTCAGCATAGTAGTACTGGCTATCCCTAGCCCCAAACTATAACTGAGTCTTAGGTAACTGCCAGCCTTTGAAAAGTAGAGGTATCTTCTTCCTATGGTTTCTTTGTATAGGGAGGAGTAAAGAAGTAGAGTAGGTGTTGATAGAATGTCAATAAAATATAAGCGCCTTGAAGGCAGGGACTTTTTCATTTTTGCCTTTGTACCCCAGCACCAAGCCCAGTGCCTGACATGTATGTAACAGGTGCTTAATAAATGCCTATTGATTAATTGATTTTAGAGCAGCAAAAATGGATTTTCTGATTTCCTTGCCTTTTGAGACATCACTGAGGAAACCCATAACTGGTTGGGAAGAGAACAGAGAATAGGCAACTCTGTGTTTGTGCTTCTCAGCTAAGAGGAGTGCATGTGGAAGTGGACTGTCACTCCAGTTTTCTGAGTTAAGAAGTGTAGGCTGTGAGCCGCTAAACAATCTAAGCCTTAACTAGGAAACACCACCCCACCCCCCACCTTAGCAAGCCACTCTTATAAGCATTGTGTAGAGCTACAGTATAGCAAGCTGACAGTTCCTTATTGCTTCCTGATTGAGAATGGTTAAACGACCCCATATCTTCCACAGAATGGGAATTTGGTCAGCATTGATCCCTTATCCTCTGATGAATCAGGAACCATTAATGCAGTTAGAAAAGCATCAGATTTGGAGGTAGAGAAGCCGGGTTTGGATCCTAGCTCTTCTAATTGCTAACTGTATGTTGTTAAGCAAAAGCAATGTGGTGATCGAGAATGCAGGATTTGGAGTTGGAACTTCTGATTTCAACCTCTGCTTGGCTACACACCACCTGTGTGGCCTCAGACAAGTCACCTAACCTCTCTAAGGTCTCACTTTCCTCTTATGTAAAATGAGGTGTTGGAACTAGATCAGATCTTCTTATCTGGCAACAGTAAAAGGTTTCTGAACATGCAATGACCAAAAAGTAATTAAAAAGCAAACTCGTAAGGAATCCAAGGTGTTTCTGGCAGCACTCTCCCTTGTTGCATCAAGCAACCTTGCCCGCAGGCCACACAACACAAACAAACACTGCTGAAAGAGGAAAAGGGTAAGGGGTGGGAAAAGTTTAAGAATCCCTGGACTAGATGACCTCTTAAGGTCCCTTCCAGCTCTAAAGCTATGATTCTAAGTCACTTGACACTTCTTATTTGTCAAATGAGGACATTAGACTAAATGACTTCTGGGGTCTCTTTCAAGATGATGTCCACTTATTTAAGGCATCAAAATAATAGCCATGCTGAGTAGATTTGCATGAAACCCAGAGATATTCCGGTATTTCTGCTGTGTAATTCCATCTTTAGTGAAAGAGTCTGCCATTCTAGCTGCTCCTCACATATTTGCATTTATTGTCATGTTTCATGTCTTGGCATGGCAGCACATTAATGGTGTTTACTAGAGAAAAAATATACAGGTATATATGGGCATATCTAGATAGATAGACAGATAAATAGATAGATAGATAGATAGATAGATAGATAGATAGATAGGTAGGTAGGTAGATATGAATCTGTTTTATTCAATGTTAAAGCAAGACAGTGTAATGTGTAATGACATATTCAAAGTCTGGCTGACAAAAGGAATTAGCTGAAGCTCTTCTTCACTAGCCCCTAATAAAATTAGTGTTCTCTTCATGTCATCTCCTACAACAAAAGACACAAAATGCCTGCCACTGAATTTCCAAAGATATCGTTTCACAGAAATGGTTTCGTGGTAAGATGAAGTCCCTCTCTACTTAACACCTTCAGGAGTGGTATCAAGCTCAAAGTAAAATTGGGCCGTTCATCCATACATCAGGATCCCTATGGGCTGCATGATGACTTAGTTTTAAAGCATAATGTTATACGTTTTTATTTATTTTTGTTAAATATTTCCCAATTACATTTTAATCTGGTTCAATCTCATATGTGACACCTCTGAGCTATAGGGTAAAGGTCAACCTGCCTGAATTTCAGTTTTCAGGTCATAATAATAGTACTTGTCTACTCCTTGAGTATTCATCAGACACTATGTGTCCACTACTGTACTGTGGGGCAAATAAAATTATGATACCTTCTGGGAAATATGCATTATTAAGAATAAAAAATTCTGAGGAGGTAGATGATACAATGGAGTAAAGTGTCTATTCCCTTCTGCGTACCATCAAATCTTGTTTCAGCACTGTGATGTGTGAGGAATATATTTACCAATTCTGATCACGTAGTTTCCTGCCCAAGCACAGAACCCACTGGTGGTTCCATAGGATGTGGCTAGGGAGAGTATTCACCAAGAGAAAGGGAATATAACTACCTATCATTACCTCCTAGTTGGCAAATGAAAAAGGGTTCCATGAATTCTGTTAAGCTGGGGCTAGCCTTTCCATGAAGATGCTGAGCAACTCTGTCCTAGAACCTATAAACAAAATTTATCAAAAGCGGGCCCTTTCTGCCCCATTTTACTTCTAGAGATTGGAACATTTCCATCAAGGATCTCTTTGGGGAGAAATGTGGAGTTATTGTTTTGTTTCTATATCTCAAATATTTGAAATCTAGACACTTTTATGTGTCAGTCACAAAGTGACTTAAGGATCATAGTGAGCCTGGACAAGGACTAGGAATATGCCTAAAGAAACTCAGTGAGAAATAAGGTATTTGTTTCATTCCCCGCAATGCTCATTACATGTACCCACTCAGCATTCCAGAGTACAGCTCGGTATGTATGTGTGTGGCAGGAATGGAAGGGGAGTAGGTGTCAAAACACAGATGCTGGCCACATGATGCTAATTTTATTTGCAAACAATATTTAGAATTTAAAGAATAAAGACCACACTCCTTTTTAACTCTTTTGTTCCAATAGGTACCACCTAATTAAAAGTTGCACTTGTCTGTTTGTCTTTCTAGTACTAAAGCTATCTACTGTCTTGCATCTTTTTTGCCCATTTCTCCCAGAAGCTGTCTTCAGAGTGGAAACCTGAGATCAGACTCCCCTCAGGCAGTGATCACGTCATGTTGAAAGCCCTGGAATGGAATGCGGAATATGAGGTCTTTGTGGTGGCCGAGAACCAGCAGGGGAAATCCAAGGCAGCCCATTTTGTATTTAGGACCTCTGCCCAGCCAACAGCTATCCCAGGTATAAAACACTGCTTCCCTTCTTGACCTGCTTTGAATTAATGCAAAAGTGCTGCATCCCCTAATGTGCCTGAACAAACCCTGACAACTTGCTTGCTTAAAGCCATTCTCATAATCGGTTGCCCATGCAAAGCTTAGTTTTGCCTTGTACATAGCTATATAATAAATACATTGAGTGCCCTCCCGATAAGCTTGTCTAGGCATCCTGGGGAGAATGGTTTCATCCTGAGTGGAAGGATTGACTTCAGTCTCACTGCTCAATCTGATGCAAAGTCAATCAACAAATATTCATTAAATACCTACTGTGTTAGGCACTATGATAGGTCCTAGGGATAAAAACTTGAAATAATACAAAATCCTTGCATGCAAGGAGTTTATAACAAAATAACCCAAGAGACTTTTCAAATGAGAAAAAACCGTAGCTTCATTGTAGGCTTGAAAGTCAATAAAGGTGGGATCCTTTGTGAAAATCAGGTCAGAAGAAGTGCAGTCATGCATCATCTGATGTTCTGTCCCAAGATCACATGACTGTTTTCAGAAATTATTTGATACTTCCTTTTCCTGCACGATCTTGATCAAAGCATTATTTATTTTGATGGCATGAAGGGAAAAAAGAGATGGCTTACATAATTAAAATTCCCTTTGCCATGGTTGTTATGTAGGGGGAGAAAAGATAAAATTGAACTATTGGAAACAGAGCAAAGAATAAGACATTTGCATCACAAACCCTGTCAATTCAAAATAATTAAATCAGGTCTAATATATCCGGGTGGAAGCACTTCTCCCAGGAAACCTTATTTGGCTCTGTAGACCTGACAGACCTATCTCCAGGAAGCCAGAAACAAGCCTAAATAGAGAAGTAGAGTAGTTATGATCTCTGGCCTAGCTACCTTTTTTTTTTTCAGGCGGCAAACGCTCTCCCCTTGACCAAACTCCAACAGAACAGAAAGGCTATTTCAGAAATCACTTCAATCACTTATTGATCACGCAGATACAAAAGGGAGGCAGATGAGAGGCATACAAGACAAGGCAGAGGGGTTCCAGCAAGGCTCTGCCTCATTTCTCTTATGCAAGAGCAAATTGATCTTTCTCTTTGTAGAAATCTGATCCTTCTTCTTCCTTGCCCTGTCCATGGTGCTTATTGAGGCAGTTGGCCTGGTTGGTTTGACTCCCCCTCTTGGAGAGAGGAGGACTAGTTGAAATCTGGGCAGCCTGAGGTAAGAGGCTCCACCTGGGTAAATGGAGCTCTGGTCAGGCAGATTCAACAGCTGGGCAAGTGTTTTCTACAGATGGCTTGTGGCATGAATGTGTGTGTCAGGAGAATGTGTGTGGACCTCCATTGTATGTATTGCCTTCACCTCTACCCAGACAAGAGGGCTTATATAAGCACAACAGGGTGGTAACAATTCTGCAGACTGTGCTAAGGTAACCAGACTCTGAGAGACTTGTCATAAGGGTACACTTCAGCATAGCTTTCTTATTGCCTTCTTGTTACATTTTCCAAAAAAAACTGCATGGGACAGTGATCAGAATCTGATCCTACTTTTTTCTTTAGTCCCTTCTCTCTCTGTGGTTCCTTTGTTGATCTTTCCTTGAAATCACTAGCCTGGGATGAGTGTCTAAGGTTTCAACCATGCTGAAGCTATGTTCTGGCTGGACTTTTGCTAGGCATTTGGGTAGTCAGAATGGTGAAATTCTGTGGAAACATCAGAAGCCAAAATTGACAACAGAAAGGCATATTTCTGTGTGAGAGACATTGCCAGGGGGTAGAATCTTCCCTGTCACTAGTAAAATTGGTGGGCTGGAAGAGTGTTTTGGTGTTCAGTGTCAGCTCTGGGATCGTAGAGAAGCTTTGGCTTCTGTCAAAACCAGGGTGCCCAGGGAAATGAAAATATATCTGACAGTGAGGATCTAAGACAAAATCAGTAACTCAATATGTAAGTGTTTCCTGGTGAGATGGATTCCACAGATGGCAAGTCTTGACTGTGCTGAGCTCAACCCTCATAGGTCCTGGATGATGTTGTGGGGATCCATATCTCAACTAAGTCATCTTCTGATAATCTCCCTCTCCTGTGCTAGGAGGACCCTTAATGAAGCTTAGCTCCTGGATTTGAGTTTTCTGGTTGCCCTATTGCTTCATGGTATGATAATGACAATTGAAACATTTAAGGGAGTTCTAGGGTTCATCTGGATCAAATTTAATAGTCTCAGATGAAGTTCACAGTTCTAGAGTCTCCCAGAGTACTTGTTTATTGCAATAGGAAGAGTTGATTTCCAGGTAAAACAGCACCTTACCTGTACTACCTGCATTTTGTGATGACATGCGATGCAAAACCCAAAATGCATCTCTACCTGAATCAGCCACATGGAGGTGGAAAGTATTAAGTACAGGCTATGAGCCTTGGTAGTTGCACTGTCTATATCTAAAGGCCTTTAACTCCATAAAACACAACACTGCCCATGAAAGTACCAGCTGATCACATTCTTACATTTTACATTTGGAGCCTTCTGTTTCATCATTTTAATTTCATTTGCTCGCTAACCCCTAATCCCTCAAATTAACCCTGCTGTGCTGCTTCCGGCCTTGCTGAGCTTCTGAACTGGCCTTTTGTTGTGGTTACTGCACTGAACTCTTCTCTAACCTTTGTCATTTTAATTTACTAAGTTATATTAACCTTTAATTCTTATGTTTTCTATATTTGACCTAATTTTTTTTTCTTTTTTATCTATTTTTTCTCTTTCTGTCTCTGCCCTCTCTCTCCTCCTTCTTCCCTCTTCCCTTCCTGTGTCTGTCGTCATACATGTCACCCTGGACGTCACTGGACATCCCCACTGCCACATGCACCAACATTTGTTTTAAAAACAACCACCTCCCCCTGGGGAATCATTGTTTGACACCTGCAGCAACCTTGGGTGGCTCCTCAGCCTCGTATACCTTTGTCTCATTGCTTCTCTCTGCAGTGACTCTTCTTTTGCTCTGTTAGAAACTTGGGGTGGGGTGGGGGGCAGATGGGGAATCAAATTGGCTTAAAAGCTCAATTCCTACCAAGGCATGAAAATGGATAATACCCTCTTTGGAAGACCATGTCAGGACAGCACTCACGATAAACACAAACAAGCATTCTGTTTGGAAGATGAAGGCTTTGCAATGAGGAAAAAGGTTTATTTCAAGGAATTTTACCATTAATAGATTGTTTTGTGTTGCTTATAATGAATCTGCCCCTTCTTAATATATGTAAAGAAAAATCCATCATTGACCCTTCTAAAAAGAAATCATATGAAAGTACAATATTTAAAACCACTTTGTGCTGGTCTATATATATTTTTTGCATATCTGTTACTGATTCCACATTTTTCTCACACAAATAATGTTGCAAAGAGAAGTTTTCTGAGGTCTTCCTAAAACGTGCAACAGACCTTTTTTTGAACCACCATAGCTTCCCTTCTTGTTTCTCATTCGATCCCTAGCCCCTTTCCACAACAAGTAGTTTGGCTTTGCTTTTCTTTAAGTGCCAGTAATAAGAGAACAGGCCTTTGGGGGGGGGAGGTCACCTGAGCATCCTGCTAACTTGATGAGCTCAATTAAGTCATCTCTCTGATCATGCAGCAAAGACTGGATTGAACTGACCAGACATGGAAGGGAGCTCATGAAACACTCAGAGAAGCTCCCCAGGCCTGGAGTGTAGAACTAGAACTAAAGACAGGGCCCCCGCTGTGATATTTTCACAGAAGTTTTGTAAAGTTTTGTAAAGCCTGATGTGCTGGGTGACTCTCCCCCACTGCACATCACAGATTAACAGAGAGCAGCGGTGGTTTGGGCATTATTGTCCTCCGGTGACCCATGGCTTTCAGTGCAGACCTCCGTATCCCAGGCTAGAGACAGCTGTTCTAACCAGACAGTGAAGCACCCTGCTTCCCTAAGCAAGGTAGAGAACCAGGAAGAACCCTGACTCCAAGACCCTTCAACCCAAGTGTGATCATCACCTATGAACAGATTAGTAGCCAGCCAGGCTTTCCTGAGCAAACCCGTGCTATTCAAACTGCCTTTAAGCAGAGCTACTCCAGTAAGTCTTGGGGTTTTTTTTTATTTCTAATGTTCTGTCACAGAGTAGTATCCCAGGGAGTGTGTCTACCTTGGCCCTCCCTCCTGCTGGGAAGTGTGCTTTCTCCCAATACCCTGGGGAGAAGGCAAGGGACAAGGCAAGTGATGCCTGCCTGTTAAACTGTAGAAATGAACCCCTGAAATGAAGGCTTGTTCAGTATTCTCAGCACTTTTGATTAATAAAATTCACCCCAGTGTGGCCAGACCCCTACATGTTTGTTTAGCCATCTCTAAACATCTCCATGTGAGATCATGGATTATTACTCAGAGTGCAGGCAGACTTGCAGACAGAAATGTAAAAAGATAGCCAGCCTGCAGTCAAGGGTGTGTTGGAGCTAGCCCATACCAACCAGCAAGACAAGAGCTGGTTGTTAAATCTTCAGTGTGAGCATTTACACATCAGGAATCAGCAAATGTTATAAAACAGGTCTTGATTTATTGTTTCGTTGATTGTCCAGACTTAACAAAGTCATGGAGAAAATGTTCAAAATGCAGATTAAACTTTCAAAGTGTGTCTTGATTTGGGACATCTGCTTGTTAAACATTTACCAGCACACCTCTGTCTATTTGCAGTACAAACTCATGTTTGCAGAAACAGATGTGCACGTGTAAGAGCTCACACACCAATTACTGCTAGGCCAGCCCTACCCGTGGGTGCTATTTGCAAACGTGCACAGGCACACGTTCACTATCCCTTCAGACAATTAGCTGCTGCTTAATCCACATGGATTTCAGCGTGTTCTAGGCCAACAACAAACCTAAAACCATCTGAACAGGCCCATCGCCATACATGCACATGCTGAATTTTGCGGGGTGAGCTGTTAGTTGCACGCAATCCAGAGATACCTTCCAGCAGGGAAAGAAAGAGTCATTTCTTCTATTATGGGCATGGAGGGAGA